GTGCAATTTTTTGCATCACTGGAAAGTAAAGTATAGTATAGTGGAGGATCTTTGCGAATTTTTGAAAAGGCCCTCCCTCTCCACTTAAAAAAATAAATAAATTCACACGAACAATCCTGTACCCGCTCCTGAGAGGGAACGCCTATTGGACGTGTGCGAGAGTGTGTACAAGCCCATTTCTCCTCCTGCACCCTCTGTTTAAAAGTTGCTGTTTGCATCACTTATACAAGCTTACTTTCCAAAAGAGTATTTGCAATTTTTCCTCAGTGTCAGACTCAGCAAAAACATATCACCAGAATGATTGACAATCAGGAGGACCACTTTTTTTGATGATCCACAAGGAAAAAGAAAATCAACCACTATACCGTTAAATAGCCCAATGCCATCCTTATTAGGGCTATAGCGTAAAGCTGCGACCCAGCTGTCCATAACAAAGCCACTATTCCAACTCTCACTCATTCCTCTGTATACACGACTCCCATTTTCTCCCTCGGTCCCTGAACGCCACTAGAGTCCTCTGAATGGCAGAATTTTCTTAGATAATTTTTTCATGCGGGTTCCCCCTGAATGTATTACTTTGATCATCTGTATCAATGTTTTTTTTTTTACAAAAAGTATTAGAAAATGTTAATATCATCTTACCAACACTTTAGAACGTAAATTGTTAAGGTAAAATTTTAAATTGGTCCATTGAACAAATCAGTTATGTTATCTACTGTTAGTGCAGATAAGAAATATATTTAGTATTACACTGCAAAAACTCAAGAAATAAAAATTAAATTAACTGTACTTGCCCTTAATTTGAGGTAAATAAAATCTGCTAAAGTAAATACATTTATTTTTACACTGAACATGAGATAACTTGAGGTTATTTGAGGTTATTTCTTCTTCTAAATAATAATCTTATTTAATCATCTAATTATCTCACCCACGTACCTAAATCATGGAAAAATAAACAAGTATCATGAGATAGATCCAATTAATTATATTTCATATTAGCCGTGTAAAATTTCAGTACAGGGGTTATAACAGGAGCCAGGACCAGTTCTACAGGGGCAATGGCCCCTGTTACCCCTGTCTAGAACTGCCCCTGCTTTTTTCAACTCAAAGTAGCTCCCTCCACCCTGGTATTCTGTTCAAGTCAACAACAAAACCTTTTTATCTTTTATTTGTCAACAAGTGAAAACTGAATTAATGATAATGTAAATGTATTTCAGCATTTTAACCCATAGACTTGGAGAGCAGTGGGCTGCCATTGTGTGGCGCTCGGGAAGCAGTCTGGGGTTAAGGGTTTTGCTCAGGAAGACTGTGGGGATCAAACTGGGTACTTGCAGTCCTCTTAGAACACAAATACATTGCTCTAACCCACTAAGCCAACACTCCCCCAATTAGAGACAAATCCGTTTCGTCAGTCTACACTGCAAAAAAGATCTTGAAATAAGCAAAAAAAAAAATCTTAAATTAAGTGTATTTACCCTTAATTTGGTATACAAGATGATCTGCCAATAAAATTTGTATTTTTACTCATAAAATAAGATAATTAGATAATATGCAATTGAAATAAGACAATGCAATTGTTTTTTTCTTATTTTAAATGTAAATTGTCTTGTTCCATTGGCAAAGTGTCTCACTTACCTCCTCAATTCAAGACAAAATGCACTTATTTCAAGAAAAAAAGTACTTAAGATTTACATTTTATGCAGTGTAATTATTGAAGTACACTATTACTTCTATTTTTAAACATCTTCAAAGTAAAAAAAAAATGGAAATACCATTTGCTCTATAATTAATAGACACTTGCATTAACATGACTATATTAACATGATATGTTTTTTGTGCTCTTCTAAACACATACATTGTCAGATATGTGGTGCAGAACTTTCCACTCCTTGGAAATATCTTAAATATTACAGCAGGTTTGAGTGGATCAACTATAAAACATATCAAGGAATAATAGATGTAGACAAGCTTTACTTGTCTCAGAACAAACATCCACTGTGCTTGTAGTAGATGTGTATGTAGTATATAATTAAGTAATCATGGGATACCTGCCCGATGTAAGAGAACATTTTGAAGGACATACTGTACGGTACCCACACACAAACACAAACACAAACACACACCCAGCCTGGACAGAGGATGCTAGATGAAGATGGAAATGAAATAATCAATATTTCCATTTAAATGTTTTCTTTGCTCTAGGTCGGATCAGACTAAAAAAAACCATACCAGCTTCAACAGCTCTAACAATGTTTACAGGGCTGCAGCAAGGATACATTTGGCCAAAAAATGGCAGTTGGCTTATAAATGTTATAAATGTCTTTACTTCTGCTACAAGTAAATTTCTTAATGGTGAAACAATAAGGATTTTTTTTCCTCTTATATTTTAAGCATTACAGAGATAAATAGTCTGAATGCAAGAAAATTAATGATCAACTAATAATCTTTGCAATCTGAGCAGTTCTTCTTGAGGTGCATTTTGCATAGTGGCATTTCGAGAATAAAACATGTGCTATGTAATGTATTTTGAAGCCCAAATCTGCAGTGCATCCTGATTCCCTGAAACAGCCTGACATTGAAACATCAACCCCTCTTTCAACCAAAAACTACTGTCAAAATCTGAGACAAAACTTCAACAAATCACAAATATTTTCATGAAAGTATCTATATTTCTTCCTCATAATGTTAAAGCATAAAACTAAAATGCGTCAATGTTTCCCAGATCTTTTCCACTTTGGGATCCAAACCCCCAAAGACACGGAGCATATGAAGATAGTGAGAAATCTCCATTGGTGATATAAATGTGTGCGTTCACGTGTCTGCTCTCTTTACATTCCATTTTCCACCGTCCACAGTGTCCAAATAAACCGTCAACCCTGAAATGGCTGATAAAGTGTGTATTCATGTGTGTGAGTCACAATATTTGCACTGTGTTATTGCAGCTCTGAGGCCACAGCATCTTCTATAAACATCCAGCTGTGAATTATTTAATAAATAAACACATTCAGGACCACACAAACACACATTTCAGATAACATGCTATTCCATCTAAAAGGTGGATTTATAACAATACACATTGAAGTGAAGTGATAACAGGAGATATCTCAATACAACCACAAAACGCATGCATATACACACGCACACTGAGACACACAAAATAAAAAAGTGGATTTCAGTGTTGAAAGGGGCTGGGAAAGCTGATGAACTGGATTAACTTTAGAAACACACCCTCCTACACTTGCACACCATTTCATTTTGTCTCTGGTTAAGTGGATTTGGCTCCTGGTCAAGTGTAAAGCAAGACAGAAGAAATCATTACAACAGATGAATGGATGACACCTATAGGTCAAATCAGGTACTGCATGAGTCAATAAGCTCATAAATCTTGGTGCGTCACCATAGGCAACCCCTCATCCTTCATGACAGTCACACCAGATCATAGAAGGGAGCATAACTGGAAAATCCTTCTTATGTCCTAAATGTAAGGATTTCATATCGGAACATGCTTTTTAGGCTGCAGCTCAATTTGAGATGCAAGCTAAACTGCTTGCATGGGAAATAATTTTTAAACTAACAAGAGTATGCCTTTCAAAGCACAACTACATCATATTACAGAACATTTAAATTAGTTATCACATTATATGTTTTTGCTATATTGTTTTTGTCATTGAATTTTTTGGGAACATAGTATATGTGATCTTCCATTGCTAATAATTGAGACATTTAGACATGTCTTTATTTATTTCGTTCGTTCATGTCATGATACAAAAACAAAATCTGTGATTTTTCCATGTCAGATTCACCACCGGTAAGTGAAAATGGGGATGAGCATGTAGGATGGCTTTACGTAAACATATCACCAGAATGATCAACATATTCTCATTATCAGTTCGCATGAAATCGTACGAAAAGTTATGTTTTCCTCGAAAAAACAGATCAGTGCGCATGCGCAGCCAGACAGACGAAAAAAGCAGATCCGCGGACGGACGGAAAACTGGGACGGACAGTGCAATAATTACTTCTTCAGGTCTCTTTGCTTGCTGTTTTGTATCTTAGGGTTAATTGTATGTTAAATTCTATGTTATTTAATGGTGCGTAAGAAGCGCATGCGAAAGGATATCTTGTCTCGAGGCAAGACGTAAAAATACGACGAAAAAAACGTCAAAAACGTACGAAATTACTGTGCATAACTTTTCGTACGATTTCATACGAACTGATAATGAGAATACACTGGAATGATTGACAATTAGGAGGATTACTTATTTTGATGATCCACACAGAAAAAGAACATCCTCCAATATATGTATTGGAGGATGTAAAGTATAGTTTTGTTTTAGAATGGCCTAGTCAAAGCCCAGACTCAAATTTGATTGAACAGTTCTGTTATGAACGTCAACAGGTCGCATAAACTCAACTCGACAATGTGGCTTAAGTAACAGTTTTGCAAATAGACTGTGAAAAATTACTAGGTACAAAAAACTGTTGCCTCCAGAGTCAATTAGTGAAATGGGTTTGAGTATTTTCCCCATATAAAAATAGAGAGGTTTTAGCTAAAGGTGAAATGTTATATGAATGCTAAAATCAAGCGCCTTTGCTACAGATTGGTTGGTTTTTTTTAAAAGAATTTTTTCCCCTTAATTACAAAATCAATCAATAGAAACAGGCTTTTTCTCTGCAACTGGAATTAAAAAGAGACAAAACAAAAGAATGAGAGACCATTAAGATAACACATATTTTCTAAAATGTTAACATTACAGTTTATATGTATCTTTTAATTATAACATTTGTCTGCTGATCTACTGAAAATATTTTATTTACTTTGATATTTTAACCTATATTATTATTTCAAAGGTGCAATCATTAACTTTCTCAGTAGGAACTTGACTCCCTCTAGTGGCTAAAAGTGGAAACTAGAACTCAACATGAAAAGACAACACAGTCAATCAATTTTAAAACAAAGTTATTATCCTAAACGTTATTAAATGTCTTTAACCACAGGAAAATAGGCAACAAACAGTTTATTTCACCCAATGATGTGTTTGCACACTTTCAATAAGCTCAAGGTCAAATACATGAACACAAGGATCTGACTTCAGAGTACAAATGTCGTAAAAATACAAATACATTAGGAAAATAAAATTCAAAAGTTGTACAAACTTCCACTGAGGTCAAGCCCACACAATTAGCAGCTGTTGTCCAGCAGAGGCCTAACAAACGCTGCATTTAAAGGAAACGCTTCCGGTACCAAAAGTTTCAGTTTCCAGGAATTAGCTGATAAGAGGAGAGAGAGAATATGAACCTAACGCCGCCTCACTTTGACAGGAAAACTGTGCAGCAAAATAGGAAAACAATTTACAAGGTTACCGTACATAAAGTTTGCTTTTTAGACCTCATAGTTTACAGAAAAATCATAGATTCAAGGTATTTAAGAATTGTTTGAGAGCGCCCTTTCTTTCAGATATTCAGTTTAAAGTCAGAATATATTAGAAATGTATCATTTGTTATATAGTACTATTAAGTACTATTACACCGCATTTGACTTTTACTCATCTTTCCCTCAGGATTATTCCAGCAAGGCCAAGATGCAGAGATCTAGTCATCTGCTTGTCACCACAAGGTCACATTAATTTGGAGCCTTTAACAGCATAATCAAATTCACATTTCTATGCTTTTATATGTTGATAAAGATACATTTTCTATATTATTTTAGTCAAAAGTTTGAATTAATTTATTAAAAAAAACAAATATGAACAGTGCCAAACGACCCGATGACGTCCAAGAAGACTGAACCCATCAGAAAGTCTTAAAACAACAGTAACAATCAGGCCTAAATGACTTTAAAATGCTGTAACAGCCAGTTGTCTCTTAGCCATTTTCACTGAGCCGCAGATCGTCTAAAACAGGCAGGTTTAGGAAGGTGAGCTGATCCAAGTCCAGAGGGAAATCCAGGGGCTCACAGTTCAGTCTTCTGCCCAGAAAGAGGCACCTGCTGCTGGATCTCCTCGTCTGACGTCATCCCTTCGTCCGTCTTCTCCACCGGAGCTTTGCTCTTTTTCTTCTTCTTCACTTTCTTCTCCTTCTTTTTCTTTTTAGCTTCCTTCTCTCCATCTGAGCTTCCGTCGGCCTTCTCTCCTCCTCCTTTCTTGCCTCCCTTCTTCTTTTTCTTCTTCTTCTTGTCCTCTGCAATAGCAGCCTGGTCTCCTTTCTTCCTTGGACTCCAGTCCTCACTCAGGCAGGCTGGATGAACACAAGGAAGTAGGTGGAGGTGCAAAAAGGGAGAAAATTAGAAACAAACGTGTTTAGTATGGGAGGACGGAAGAGGGAAATGAAAGCAAGTCATTTGAAAATTATTTTTTAAATGGGCTTAACCCTTTCTGGGGCATACAATGAAAGACTAACTAAATTTCAAGCAACGAGTACACTGCAAAAAAAACCCTGGAATCTAAGTAAGTCAGTTTTTCTTAAAATAAGTTCATTTTTTCTTGAACTGAGCAGGTAAAATACTTTGCAAATGGAATAAGAAAATTTACATTTAAAATAAAGAAAAGAAATGCAGTCCCCTATTTGAAGTGCATAATATTACATAATCTGATTTCAAGGATAAAAATGCTCCTTCAACTGGGAGATTTTCTTATACCTACTCAAATTAAGGGTAAATACACTTATTTTAAGACATTTTCACAAATAGATAATTTTTGTAGTGCTTTATTGGAATCCAGGACAAGGCCTTATTACCTTTGTAACGTTAAACAAATATGCATATTTTGATGGCATAAATAAATGACAATGTAACAACAAGAAAAGCCAACTTGCCCGTATAAATTAAGAAAAACAACAAAAATGCTTCTATAAGAAATTTATGAAACACACTGAGAGTGAAAGAAATGGCACTCCATTTGTAAGAGGTATGCAAGTGATCAAAAATGGTAACTTGCCCTATAAAGGGTTAATTTTGAAGATTCTTAACACAATTTTTAGACAAACATCTCATCATACTGATTCATGTAATCTAACAGAAACCAAACCAACCCGCAACAATTTTTTTCCACCTTCTTCACTGCAAAAATGATCGAAAAATTAGTCAAACTTAGAAGGTAAATAAGATAATCTGCCAAAGGAATGAGCATTTTTACCCTTAAAATAAGATAATTACATATTATGCAGTGAAATAAGAGGCTGCAGCAGTGTTTTTCTTAGTTTAAAAGCAAATTGTCTTATTGCATTGGAAAACTCTCACTTACCTGCTCAATTCAAGAAAAAAAAAAAATAGCTTCTTTTACTTATTTAGATATCAATTTTTTGCAGTTTGCAGAGCTTTGCTTCAAGCATACAGCTGATAAAGATACTAAATGGAGCAGCTTTTTCTTTTTCTTATTCTCTACTCCAGCCATACCTTCTTTCTTAGCTTTCTTTCCATCTCTCTTCCATGTTGGAGGGAGCGTCCATATCTCCCCTTAATATGCAAACTATCAGTGACCCAGTGAGGCGCTGCTCTGATATCCATATATTCCACCATATATTAGCTGTGGCAGGGAGGCTGCATCACCGCAGCAATGCTGTTTTATTGATCATCGGCCGGTTTCGGGTCGACAGACCAGCCATTTGACTTCAAAGGCTGCTCTCTGTCTGCTTGCAGGGCGGTGGCGCATATGTTCACCTGCCTACAGGCGCTAAGGGGGAGTCCATGACAGAGCCTGAAAGGTCGCAGGGTTCAGCTTTCACAGCGCTTTTTTCACATATGTGTTAGATAAGATATTTCCAATACAGTATCTGCAGCCGTTGAAATTGAATTCAGCATATCTGACTTATTCCGGTGTCAATTTGAAAACTTTCAGCGTAACTAGCGATTGTGCTGAAAGTCGCTGAGGGAGGGAGCACAGATGTCAGTCAGTGAACTGATGCTAGGGCTGCAACTGAGCATCATCTCGCTAATCGATACATTATTTTTTTCAATCAATAGTCTGATAAAAAAAACTTCCCTTAAAAAAGATTTTCTACAGAATTTAAACAAGGTGAAGCAACTTGAGGAGTTTGGATAGAGCATATTCATTATTAAAATGCTTTTTTAGCGCCACACATCCTGTTCTCCTTGAAGGGGTGATCTTCCTCCTTCTGTTGAAGGCTCCTGCACCCTGAGTGCGTAAAGGAGCGCCATCGCAGATCCTTCCAGGCCCAAAGATCTTAACAACCCCACTGTTTCCAAGTGTTCTTATACATCAGTGGTTTTATTTAGAAAGTTTTGCTCAATTTCTTTCAGTTCTTACCTGCTATGTCAGTATTTTCTACATCAATGCTGCTGTCTGTAGTGTTTTTTTTTCTCCATTTCCTGTTAAATCGGCGGCTCTTTTTCTCTGCACCTCTAAAATAATTTTACTTAATCTGAGACTCAAAATTGTTTAGATTATTATTCTAAATCGATGCTGTTATCTGCAGTTTGTTCTGTAAATTGGCTTTTCACTGCCTCTTGAATATGTTTTATCCAATTATGATTTGTTTTTCCTTAATAACAACAAAGGGCTTTTTCTCTTTTGCTCTACAGTAAATTTTCAACTTCTTCCTCTTGCTAATGTATATGCTGCTATGTTCTTCTGTACTTTGACACTGACAAATCTGAATTCCCCCTCTGTTAAACAATAAAGGCTAAATCCCAATTCCAATATATACTATACATCATTTTCCAAATTTAATTTTATCTCCTTTGAAATCGAAAATAAAAAGACCCTTCATGTAAGCAATGAAGCCAAAAACAACAAGCTGTTCCTGTAGCAGCAGATACAACAGTGTGGTTATCTGGGTCATCGCTGCATAAGACCAGGAAAATTACTGCTGAGTCTTTGGGTGATTCTCAGAAAGGTTAACAGAGAAAAGTCTCCGTTTTACTGCAGGAGATTATTTCTCTGGAATGAATGAACCTGTTTTTGTTGCCTTGGTCAGAGAACATAAATCAAACATTTGCTCCAGAGAACCACGGCCTTTGGGGTCCTTAAATTCAGCCCAAGCTTCATTTTGTGTTATTGATGTTTTTCTATCTTGACTTTTATGTAATGAGCTTTACATGTTTTGCCAAAAAACAAAAAAGAAAAAAACAAAAAGAAATCATGAAACAAACCTTAGCAGGTTAGTTGCAACAGCTCATATCCAGCGTCATTCTATGCCATATTTTATGGCACTCTTCCTTTGAGGTGTGAGTTTGTTTACCTTTGTCCCCTCCTTTGAGAACATGTTTCTCGCACAGGTAAGTGGTCAGGTCTTCCTCCTGGTTTCCTTTGTACCAATCTTCAATCACTTCCTCGTACTGCTCCACCATCACATCACACTGAAAAACACACAAAGGAAATCCAGCAGCGGTCAGACGTCTACATGCACTCAATCTGGAGATAAAAGTCGTTCATTTTTTTGCTTTTGATTGTTTATTTAAAACATAACTTTGCAGGTGCATTCATTTAGACATGATCTGGGTGCATTTCCTAAATAAGGGTTAGCAGCCATCCAGAGAAAGTCCTGGGTAAATTTCTGCATACTCTGGCTTTTTCATTTCAGAAGAGTAAAACTCTGACAGAAAATTCCTCAGTTAAACAACCCTGTTCAGTAGCAGGAGGATTTCCTGCGTTTTAGCAGAGATCTGAAGAAGTGTTAAGGCCAATTTATGCTTCTGACGCATAGCCTCTGCAACCGTCACATCTGTCTCTGTGCGCCTGAAAAAAAATCCTGACTAAGCGTCGGACGGTCGCAAACCTGTGCAGACCTCAAGCAGAAGTGCACAAACAAAAAGCAGTGATTGGTCCTTGGTATCCCTTTCCAGCAGTCTGTGTGGTCGTCCTTCTCGATTCGGTGCCGGTGCGAGCCATTTTTAAAACCAGAGGAACAACTACAACGGACAACTACGACGAAAGGTGGAAGTGCAACCACTTGTACGATGCCTCAGACAAGTTATATAAAGATGCCAAGGTCTCTGCCAAAACGAAGTTGTCACGAGTTCTCCAATAGGCTCCCCCTTGTGCTTTGGCGGGAAATTGCTGTGAGTCCCTAGAAATTCCAGACCAACGTTGCAGAAGCATACCAGGAAAACTAGTTCGCGGCCAGAATCAAGCAACATTTGAGTTGTGCGGTTGCAGAAGTCTAATCTGCCCTTTAGAAATAGTGTGTCCTTTTCTGAAGGTTCTGCTAAGTTTGGAGCTCAAATACTGAGAGGACATCCCCATGAGGAATGGGTGAGTAGAGCGCAGTTTTGATTCATCTATTCAGAAGGAATATAGCCTGTTAAAATCTATTTAACAGAAAGTTATTTTCATGATTTTCTCTAATTTCAGGGTAAAAAAAGACTCATACATGCATTCAATGGAAAAAAAAATGCGAACTTTTTTTGTGTCTTTTAGCTTGACTATTTGAACCATTTTTAACAAAAACTAAAAGCATACCTGTTTTTTGAGGTCGGCAACTTCTGCAGACGTCTCGTTCCACAGCTCGTAGGGAATATCCATCACCACCTTCACCCCTTTATTCACCAGGCCATGAAGAGTGGAGAAAGTCTCTGACATTCCCTGCACACAAACATCACAGCAACATCAGCTTTATAATGATCATGATGGGATCTGACCAAAGCATCCAAAAGAAAGAAGGAAAACAAAATGCTGCTTTGGGGTCATTTTTAGCCAAACAAACAATATACCTGAACAAAGCTAAGTGCTTAGATTTTCCGTCATACAGGATTACTTGAAAATCAGAAGTCTGAAAAGATCTTCCTTCCTCAGGTGAAACATCTCAGAGAAACTAACATTTTTCTGATGCCAATGGAAATATAAACTGTGGTTGCATAGCAAAGGATGCAAAGACAGACAGAGAGACAGACCTTGGCGAAGCGGTTGCTGCCGGTCCTTTCTTTGTGCAGGTTGTACTCCAGCAGACGCTGACACACATTTTCTACAACCTCGATGAATCGGAGATCTCTGGATTAAAAGAAAAGAAAAAACACTGAGATGGGTTGTCCTTCTACGGCGTTCCTACCTTCACTAAACCATATCCAGTTAGTTAAACTGAGAGCATAGAGATCGCCATGGAGGACCTCATCCTTCTTTTCATAATACACTAAACCTCCCTCACGGGTTTGCCATCAACCTGAGCTGCTAAAATATTCCAATCCATTTCAATCATTCTTTGAAAAATACTGGAATTATGCAAGATTTAAGATGTTAGTATACATTTGGGTTCAAATTAAACATTGTTTACCTCTTGTGGCGCATCATGTGTTTTAGTCTGTTAATGGATCAAACCATTTTTCCATTTAAAGTTTTATTTTTGTGTGTTTTTCTTTCCCTGCATTAACATTTTCTGCAGAGTTCATGCAGACACTGATTATTTAAGGGCCAATATTACAGACTTCTTCTTCTCTGCCTCTTTTCTGGTATTTTTATAATAAAAATGATAAAATGACAATAAATGTTACAAAAGCCTCAATTTAAATAAAGAAGTTAAACCTTTATTAAATAAATAAAGTAAAAATCAACACCAGGGGGACAAAGGCGTTAGCAAAATCTTGCATGGTTGCTGAAGGCTAATGAATCAGTCAAAAAAAATAATCATTAAATAAAAATCACAGATATCGACTGACGTCTCGGCCTATTTCTAGTCCCAATGTGACCTGAAATCCCCCTGTTAACCCTTTTATTTCTTTTCCTTTTTTTCTTAATTGCTCGTATTCTGCTTTTATTTTTCTTCTGTTTTATTGTCTTAATTCATATAAAGCACCTTGAATTGTGCATGTACTTAACTGTGCTATACAAATAAACTAACCTCGCCTCCATGGACTGCAATCTGAGGTCCTCTCCTTTATCAAGGTTTCCTATGACGCCACCTGAATACCATCAGCTGTCATTAAGGAATAAACGCTAATGTAAAGGAACAACTTAATAAACTAGGATAAGCTTTTTGATGAGGCTCAGTTTAATATTAAAGCACCTTTTTAAGGATACTAACCTTAAAGCAGATATTAATTATACTTTTCGCTTAATCCATGTTTCTGTGTCAAAAACAATTGCTTCAATAATTCTGATGCAATAGTTTCATCTCATTAGCTGTGAGCAGAAAATCCAAATATTTAGCAGAAATAAAGGTAAAAAAGGTGTTTAAATAGCTAAATAATGTTTCACTGAGTGAATTGAGTTAGAGAAACCAATGAACTTTTAAAGAATTTATTCAATGAAATGAAAATAAATATGTGATGCTTGCCATTTTTTATTAACTTCATTGAACAAATATATATAAAAAAATCTTAGAGTACAGATGCAGATAAAGATTGTTTCTGAAGGGAAACTAAAGTACAAAACGCTGTGGATTAACTCTAACTTAAAGCTTCAGATAAAGTACTTCCTGTGCCTTTAAAAACACACAGAGGAGTGTTATCGCTCTGACAGCAGCGCAGCTCGTTTCTATATCAGGTTCTTCCACAGGAACTGAACCTGACCAAGTTCCCCTCCCCTGGTGCCTCAGCTGAATGACAGAAACATCTAGAAAGAAGGTCTCATTTCTGCTTTTTAACTTGAGCCGCTTCATGGAGGACAGAGAGCTGGAAGAAACTCACGACTTGACGTATTTAACAGGCGGCGCCCCTTTCCCATCTATGAAGTTGTAGTTGCTTTCAATCACTGCTTTGGTCTTTCCCGTCTCTTCGAAAGCCGACTTCATCTCGATGCTGACAAACTTACAGACTGGAGGAGAAGAGAAAACAAAAAAACAAAAAAAAAACAATAGATCATATATCTGTCTACAGCACAAACTGCAGCTTAGCTATTATCTATAGACAGTGGAAGTTAGCATGTTTCATCTAATCCTTATATCTTTATCAACAAATAAAAAGATTCAAATTTGTGTTTCATTTCTTTGACAAATGTATTTCTATTAAAATAATGTATCGAATGAATCAAGTGCTTATAAAGTAAAACAAGGTGAATATTTAAAGCAGGAAATCAGTAAATATAATAAATAATTTCAAAGATTGTTCTTTTCAATTGCACATCTATTTTATTGAAATTATCAAAACTGAATAAAAACAGAAATCCATCCCAGTGAAAAAAACAAGAAAAAAAGAATCAGAATATTTATTTTTTTTATCATCAGATTATCTTTAAAAATCTTCAGATAAAATCTTACATTACAATCTAAACAATTTATAGAAAGAAAATATGATTTTTTTATTTTTAGACTTTCAATTTTATGCAAGACACATACGATTTGGTCAGAAAAAAATTGACTGGTAAGGACCTCAGAACAAATACTGAATGTTTTTTATACAAATGTAGCATTTTTTCCAAAACAAATGATAAAAGCTTTGTTCCTTTCTCCAACAATGAGTTTATTAAATCTTTCATTTCCATGACATATTTGCCAATAACAAAATTACCTTAAAGTATCTATAAGAGCATCCATTACTCTGGGGTTCTGTTATGGTGCCTTTAGTTCAGTCTATTTTACAGTCATTGTTTTGTTTATCTTTGGAATCTGCTGATAAGCGAAAATGCAAACGCCTTTACATTTTTTTTTAAAAATATAGGACGAAGTGACGAAAAAAAACAGCACAGGGACATGGAGTTTGATTATGCTGCTTTTTTGCTGCCCTTAAAAAGTAAACCTCAGTCTGTTACCGATGATGAACAGCAGCAGGCCAAAGGATCCAGCTTAAAAAGATGGAAGCAACTCATTTTACCTTCACATCTGTTGGGAAGATGGACCCACTCATCATCCCCGTCAGTTTTAGCTGCTCCAACCGAAGAAATTAGGAACAAAACCGAGCAGTACACAACCAGCATTATGGCGTCTGGTGTCTTCGACTTTATATCTTTACATAAAGTTCGTTTTAAATCAATCATCAAAATGAGACAAAGAAATCCATTACAGCTCAGTTTTTACATCCATCGGCGGATCACGATTACAGGTGTCTGCAAACACTTCCGGTGAGGGCGTCACTTAAAGGACGCTGTCACGATTTGGACCAATCAGGGACGAAGAAGTGGCAGAAGCTTAACCAATGGGAGACAAAGAATACTCACGGAAAATGTGTATCACAGGAGGTATTACTCCGCGATATTTTCTTCACATAAAATTAATGACAATTTAAAAGCGGAAAGAATTAAAAAATGCTCTTAACAAACCAAAATATAATGTACACCTAAATGCAAATAATACAAAAGAGTTGAACTGAATAAAAGTGAGATAGATTTTTTTATAGAAATTTGAAGTTGCAAGAATATTATTTGAAACTTAAGTTCTTTTTACAGTGTAATTTAATGTGTTACACACGACTATTCTGTAGCTAAAAGTTTTGATGTGTATTATTATTTAATAGAATATTTATAATTGGAAACTGCCAACTTGTCTCATACAATGTGTATAGAAATATATAAATATTAAATACTATCATTTCATGACAATGAAAATAACGCACGTGCCACTTTAATATAAATGCATGTTTTACTATCTAGCTCCATATGTTGACAATAAATGTTATTATTAAACACGAATTACTTTAAATGCCTTTGATAAACACTATGCTGACAGAGTGATACATCTAGTTTATATTCTGTCATATTATATGTCTTGCGACTTATAGATTTCTCCAGCAGGGGGAGCTGTTTACAAGTCTAAAGCGTTTCAGATGGTATTTATTAATCATGTCTGATAAAAACAGTCTTGCTTGTGCAATGTTTTAACTTTATTAATAATAATATTTAGTAAAAATAATAATGTGATTCTGTTTATTGTCATTGGTGCAAATAGTCTACATTTTCAGACCATCTGATTGATTTTAAGCCTAAATTCTTTCAGACTTTAACAGACAGAGAAACTTTAGTACAGTAGAAGAAAATAAAGTCTGATTAACTGAAGTATTACTAATGAATACTAAACAGATGTAATGACCCGGAGTATCTTGCTAAACCACAAAGGTGCCCTCTTACACCTTAATTAAAAAGGTTGGAAAGGAAATAAAAGTGACATTTAGTGATGAGACTTCAGCATCCCAAAGCGAGGTTGTAGAATGTAAATGGGCAGCTAGATGAGGGATTTATCTGTTGTAATGAAAGCACTTTTCCGGTCTGCTGTAGAGAAGGAGGAGCTGACCTATAAGAAGAAGCTTTCAGCTTATTGGCCTGTCTGTGTTCCAGTCCTCCCTATGGTTAGTGATGAGATATGAGGGCTGAGCTCATGGTTGAGACGCCGCTTCCTAGAAGTCTGCTGAGTTCCTGTAGGCAACTTTTTTTCCTCAGATAGCACAGGATGGCCTTTAACTGCTTCACCGATGGTCTTCAGATCTAATAGCTTGTCTTTAAAAGCCAGCCTTCTATAAAGACCCTGCTGAACTGTTCCTGAAATGTGGAAACATGGAATTAACTTAATATTCTCTGTTTTTATTAAAAAGAAAACAGAAATTACAAGCTAATTTCATTAATCATTCTTGGTTTGAGCTCCCTTTCACGTTTCCCTTTCAACTTTTTCCTTTATCTTCTGAAATCTAGAATCATCTTCCTTATTTTGTTCACATTCAGGATCAGATGATCGTTTCCACATCATGCAACAAAGCAGTCCACCTGCTCTCTGTGATCAGCTTCCTTTCCATCTCGGATGCACCAAACGACTGGAGGTCAGAGGTGTACAGAGTTAAAAGGAATGATGAGAGTACCGTGCCCTGTGGTGCTCCTGTGCTGCTGACCTCCCGGTTAGACGCTTGACCCTTCAGACTCATAAACTGGGAAAAAAAAGCAGTGTATATTTGTGTATGTATTTATTCAGCTGGAATATGATGTGCTCCTGTGTGCTTGAATGTATTTGTTTGAACCAGGGTGTGAGTGAAAGAGATTTTCACAGCATGATAAGAGCGTTTCTCAGCGGTTCAATAATAGTGCAGTTTCTCTGAGAGGTGCTTCAGTGTACTGCTGCCTGCCAAAAGGACAGTCAGCTCCTCGCTGCACAGAGCACACTCGCTCGCGCACACACTCGTACAGATCAGTGCGTGTCTCATAGCAGGACTTGACTATTGAGTTGGTGGAGGGGAGGTTGATGTGAGGAGAGAAAGAAAGATGAAAGCTGGTTTTTATACAGCCATGCAGCCCACACAACAGGCAAACCGGGGCTTTGTTGGAGAAACTCTCATCTCACTGCTCCTTTTCAGCTGTTCCTTGGAAAAAAAATATAATAACGCAGATTACATGGCAGCTTGTTGAAAAGCTTTGTCGCTCTCCTCTTAAAAAGAGGCCGCCTTTATCACTGTGAACCAATAAATGCTTAGATGCAGGAAGACAAACACTGAATATGAACCACAAACGCGATCCTAAAGGGACATTAGAGGCTTTGTATGTGAACAAAGCATTTTTTTTTTTCAAACATACTGAAAATCTGTCCGATGTGAGCTCATCTGCTTGAAATGCTGCAGGTTTTTAGATGTTTCTAAGAATATTTGTATAAAGTTCTGTTTTCCCATTCAGTATTCTGTTTAATCATACCTAAAGACTTTTTTCTTTCATACTTTTTGGTCCCTCACATCATAGTAGAGGAATCTGCCCCTCTGAAGCCGGGAATATCTGCTGTCACCAGGCAGCACACATTTCAGAATCATGTATGGTCAGGTATGTGTGAAGAAATATGTTATTTCTTTACAGATTAGAAGGATAAGCAGCACCCACTGAGTTGAAAGTATAATCTCCTTAATATGGGTCTGATGTCCTCCCTGCATCACCAATGATCAGAAGTCTAAACGTTAATACAGCACCTCCGTTTCTCTTTATTGAAGTCCCCCTCTTGCACATATACTGTACTGCTGTGTTTTTAGATCCTAACCTGTGCATGGCCCAGTTAAGACCAAGCTACCTGCACCACCATCTTCGGTCATAAAGATGAGTTCATGTTCAACCAAATGCTAACAAGGAGGGGGAAAAAATGCCTCAGTTTCGCCGATTGAAACGATCCATTCCACTATTTTGCGCCAGTGTTTCCCTGTTTTGCATTTTTATTAAAACTTACAGTAATACTTGCACCTTTAACTGTTTACGGTTTTACTGTTCACTGTGCAATTTCAGATTGCTATTCATAATTTTGTCCAGTTTGTGTTTATCTCTTAATAAACAGGTAAGTTTGTTGTTACCAAGCATTGTGTTTTATTCAATCTCACCTAATTTAGCTGGCTAGATGTTATCAAGAGTACTAAAACCCTTTTCAACATGAGTCTTACAACTAAGGCTAAATACTTTAACTTAAACTTAAATACATGCTCGGATAGGCTGGTATCGGCCAGTATCGGTATCGGATCGGAAGTCCAAAAACAATATTGGTATCGGATCTGAAGTGCAAAAACCTGGATCGGGACATCTCTAATCCAGAGCGTAAATTAAAACCATTATCGTTACGTACAATGTGTTAGCGACGATGGAGACCAAAAAGAGGTACTTAAGCATATTCCAGAAAAGAAAAAGCAGTAGAGCTGCTGGACGAATGGAAAAACTTCCCAAAATAAACATGTTCTTTCAAAGAAAGACGGCGTGGGGGATGGGGTGTTTTACTTCATATTGGGCCCACCCAGATAATGTTGCTTACGGGCCTATTGTTGCGTCATTATGCCATTGTCTATGAGAAATGCCTGTTGAGATTTGAGCCTCTGTCTATTGATGCGAGAAAGTAGAGCCCTGATTGGATAACCAGCAAAAATACATCACTTTCAGTGAGGCTAAACCCTTTTAGGGGGTCTGTGGAGCAGGGCCGGGTCGTGAAGCTAGCTGCTCCATTCCGATTGGCAGACACAAGGATTTTTTCACAACCTCATGAATCAAGAAGGAACCTTGACCATGCAGTCAGAACAGTCGTCTTGTGCTGAACTCTTGCCGTTGTTTCTGGAGTTTATCATTTCAGAGCTCTTCACAAAAGCTTCATTGTTTAACTGTTGTAATGTATTTTATCTGCTTCAACATTTGTAAATGCACAACATGACGCTTGGATTTAATTAACACCCTGATTCAGAGAGCAGCAGCAGCCGTCACTATACACTGAAAGAAAAAAAACAAGTAAAAATGATGTTGCTAACAAAAATAAAGGTTGGAACTGTAACTTATATACAGTTGTATGTTTACATTATCACTGCTTCTTACCTTTGTCATGGCTGCACATTAAAAAATAAAAATGTCTTGAGAGCTGTAGGCTACTGAATTACATTTCTTTTTGTATACACTCTGTGTGTATAAAATGATAATAAACTCTGTCTGAGTCTAAGTCACTGTACTGCTTTATCTCCAAACTCACATTATGGAGCCATGGTTTCAAAATGCAAACTAAAAGCATTTTGGTAACAGAAAAGTAAATCTAAAAGCATATTGGAATTATTTCTGGCTAAAGTTAATTTTATTTATGCAGATTGAATCTTTATCTTTTCTATTTTGATTGCCAAAAATCAGACTGCGTTGCTTAATTTAAATTAAGCAACGCTTTAAATTAGCTTTTTTTTTTTTATAATATTAGTTTTATCAGGTCATACAGAAATAAAAACTTGAAGGATATCAATGTACAAAACAAGTCCCATGAATTGAGGTTAATTTTATTTAATTAGCCTCTAATTTTTTTGTTTTTTACTGATTTAAATTTCACAAGAAAGTAATCTATCTAGAGTTAAATATAGCGTTTCAAATAGGTATATGTAGCCACAGTTTAAACTGAAATCAAAACCGCATTATGTTCAAAAATGTATCTAGATGATAAGAGCTGCTTTGACCTTTATGGTTTAAAACTTTGCTTTTCTTAAAGTAATAAAGAAGAAAATGAAACCCCATAAATAATCTAATACAAGAGAAAGTTTTCTAAGGATGCCTTTATTAAAGAGTCAACAACGTGCGCTAGCCGTCCAGTTCTAGAAAAATAACACAGTCATACATTCATCCATGTGGAAATCCATAAAAACAAAGAGAAACAAGGACAGTTTTT